TGCCAGGACTTCTTATTCCTTGTCTTTTTGATTGTAACCATTCTAGTGGACGTGAAGTGGTATCATTGTGGTTTTAGTATGCAGTTCCCTAATGACTAATGATGTTGAACATTATTTCATGTGCTTATTGACCATTCATGTGTCTTCTTTGGGAAATGTCTATTCAGATTTTTTGCCCATTTAAAAAAATTGAATTGTCTTCTTCCTATTGATTTGTAAGAGTTCTTTACATATTCTGGATACAAGTTCTTGATCCAATATCATTTATGTTCTTGGTGTCATATCTAAGAAATCTTTGCCTAACCCGAGGTCATGAAAATTTACTCCTATTTCTTTGAAGAGTTTTATAGTTTTAGCTCTTACATTTAGGTCTATGATATGTTTGAGTTGATTTTTTGTGTATGGTTTAACATAAGGGTCTAAATTCATCTTTTTGCCTGTGGTTATTCATTTGTTCTTGTGCCATTTCTTGAAAAGACTGTGTTTTCCCCATTGACTTGCTTTGGCACCCTTGGCGAATATCAGTTGGCTATAAGTGAAAGAATATATTTCTAGAGTCTCAGTTTGGTTCGATTGACTGATATGTCTGTCCATAATTATGCCAGTACCTTACTCTCTTGATTGCTGTAGCGTTGTAGTTAAAGTTTTGAAATTGGGAAGTGAATTGGGAAGTCTTTCAGTTTTATTCTTGTGTTTCAAGAGTGTTTTGGTTTTTCCTGAATCCTTTGCATTTCCATATAAATTTTAGAATGAGCTCATCAATTCATATCTGTAAAAGAGCCAGTTGCAATTTTGATAGGGATTGCATTAACTCTGTAAATCAATTTGGGGAGAATTGGTACCTTAACAATATTAACTCTTTTCGTTAATGAACGGGTATCTTTCCATTTACTTAGGTTTTTAATTTCTTTCAACACTGTTTTATAGATTTTAATGTGTAAGTCTTACACTTATTTTGTTAAATTCATTCCTAAATATTTTATTCTTTTTGATGTTATTGTGAATGAAATTGTTTTCTTAATTTGATTTTTGGATTGTTCATTGCTAGTATATAGGAATACAATAGATTTTTGTACATTGATCTTGTATTCTGCCACATCGCTGAACTCATTAATTATTTCTGGTTTTTTGTGCAGATTTCTTAGGATTTTTTACATATAAAGGTATGTCATCTGTGAATAAGAACAGTTTTATTTCGTCCTTTCCAATACGAATGCCTTTTATTTCTTTTTCTTGTCTGTCTGGGCTGGCTAGTATGATGTTGAGTAGAAGTAGTGTATGGACATCTTTGCCTTGTTCCTGATCATAGGGGGAAAGCATTCAGTCTTTCACTATTATGTATGATGTTAGCTGCAGGGTTTTTGTAGATGCCCTTCATCAGGTTGAAGAAGTTCCTCTCTATTTCTAGTTTGTTGAGAATTTTTAATCATAAATGGGTATTGAATGTTGTCAAATGCTTTTTCTGCATATATTGAGATGATGATGTTCATTGATCATGTTCTTTATTAATGTGATATATTACATTAATTGATTTTCAGATGTTAAACTAACCTTGCATTCTTGAAATAAATCCTAGTTGGTCATGGTGGATCATCCTTTTTATTTGTCGTGGGATTTGGTTTGCTGATATTTTTATAGGATTTTTGTGCCTCTGTTCATGAGGGATATAGCCTGTAGTTTTCTTTCCTTGTGATGCCTATCAGGATATTTCTGGCCTCAGAAAAGATTGTGAAGTGTTCCCTTTTCCTCTATTTTCTTTAAGAATTGTGAAGATTTGATATAATTTTCTCTTTAAATGTTGGATAGAATTCACTAGTGAAGCCGTGTGGGCCTGGGCTTTCCTTTGTGGGAAGCTCTTTGTAGAAATTTTTTCTTATAGATCTGTTCAGATTTTCTGTTTCTTCTTGAGTTAATTTTGATACTTTGTGTCTCTTTAGGGGTTTGTCTGTTTCATCATCTACATTGTGCAAAGTTTTTCCAAGTATTCCTTTGCAGTCCTTTTGATTTCTATAAGGTCAGTGGTGATATTGCTCCTCTCTTTCATTTCTGATTTTAGGAATTTGTGTTTTTCCTTTTTTTTTCTTGGTAAGTCTAGCTAAAGGTTTGTCAATTTTGTTGATCTTTTCAAAAAACCAACTTTGGGTTTCATTGATTTTTCTCTTGTTTTAATTTCAGCTGTTTCCACTTCAGCGTTTATTATTTCCTTCCTTCTGCTTATTTTGAGTTTAGTTTACTCTTAGACTGTTATCTTTTAAACAACAAAGTCAATGCAACTTAATTCACAACAGAAATTCTTTACCTACTTCAAAATGTAGTAATCTTTATTGATGTCATCTTGTTAGATGTTCTTCAAGCTGTTTTACTAACTGATGTTAAAGCAGAGCTGATCTTTTTATCAAAGTAGGCCTATCATTCTTATTAGCACATACATTAGGTTTGATTATGTCTCATTCCAATGAAATTTACATTGAATCAATTCATAGTAAACAAAATTTTAAAAACTGTTTTAAAGATTAGCCCAGATCTACTGTTAGACCTAGTCTTTTTGATCTGCTTAAGAATGTCTTTGCTCCAAAATCTCAGTGGCTTAAAAGAACAAAGATTTGTTTCTCTTTCATACCACATGTTTATCATGTGTTGGCAGGGGTCTTAGCTCATTATAGTCACTCAGGGACCCAGGCTGATAGAGTAGCTGATATTTCACATGTTGTTGGTTTCAGTGCCAGAGAGAGAAAGAACTGTGGAAGATCTTGCCTGACAGTTAAATGCTCTGGCCTGGAGATACACACATCACTTTCTCTCACAACTCATTGGCCAGAGCTAGTCACATGGCTGTACCCAGCCACAAGGGGTTCCATGAGCTTAGAAAGAGTGCGGCTGGAAATACTGGGTGTAATCACTAAAGACTACTATACCACCTTCGTTCAGATCACCATCATTGGATTGCCCGATTAGCTGCTTACCAGGTCTCCTGGTTTAGCTTCTCTGCTGTCCATTCTCTGTACAGCAGTCAGTGATTTTTCTAATCATAAATCTGATGACATCACTCTTCTCATAGCTGGTCATCATTGCTTTTCAGATAAAGTCCATCTTTTCCTGCAGCCTACGTGCCCTACCTGATCTGGTCTCCACTTGTCCTTTATGCCTATATCTCATTGTTTTCCTAGTATTCTGTCTTAGTGATACTGACTTGTAGCTCCTCTAACATGCTTTACTCTCTTATGCCTCTTGGCCTTTGCTCATATTATTTCCTCTTTCTGGAACATTCCTTCTAATGTCATTCCCTCTTTCCTTTGGCTAACACCTGTTCCTCTTTTAGATTTCAGCTGAGAAGTCATATTATTCCCACTTGCCTATTTGAATTCAGTGCTTAGCCTTTGAATTCCCATAGCACTCACTATTTCTGACAAAGCCATTGTGTGCCATTGTAATTGCATGATTACTTGTTTGCTGTTGTAACCTAATCCTTCACACATAGAAGCGCTCAATACATATTTGTTGAATGGCTAAATAAATTACAGGGCAAGGTAGGGAAAAGTTGATAGTGTACATTACCAAAAAATCTATTTATTAAAAGACTTGTATGCTTCCCATCTGTGGTAAGGACCTTGAAGTTTACCGTTTATGAAAGTATGATTTTAACTGTGCTCAGAATAACTCCTGGTTACTAAAGTATTTTATATACCTTGGTTTCACAAGTCCTTTGAAAGTTGGTTACATTATTTGTGTTTATTTCTAATGTTAGAAAGAATATAAAAAATTTTGTGGAAAAGTGATTTCAGATTGGCAATTAGAGTTCTCTAAATTGAAAATAACAAATATTTATTTTTCACTTCACATATCGAATATTTTCTATTTTGCCATAATTTTCAGTAGTTTCTTAATAATCTATTAAGTTGGTGTGCCACATTTAGTTAAAGGTTGTTATAGTCTTTGTTATTTTGAGTATTGCTATTGTAAATATCTTTGTATCTTGAGCTTTTTTTCTTTTTTTTAAATAATTTTATTTATTTATTTTTCCCCCAAAGCCCCAGTAGATAGTTGTATGTCATAGCTGCACATCCGTCTAGTTGCTAGCTTTTTTTCTTTTGAACTAATTTCTCAGGATAAATTTCCAGGAGTGGCGTTTCTGGTCTAAGGGCAGTTGTAGTGTAGTGGTTAAAAGCATGCTTTGGGTTGCTCGTGGGTGGTAGCAAAATAGTATTAGGGTTATAAAATGTAAAATCTGTATAACCCTTGAATTCCAAGAAATAAAACTGCCATATTTCTTACCAGGTGTTGAGTGGTCCTATCTTTTGACTTTTTCTGCAGTCTTTTCTGCATTGGGTATCTTAGCCCTTGAGAGTGTGAATATGAGAAACAAAATGAAAGAATAAGCTCAAGAAATGTAATTTAGGGGGCATATTAGTAAGTTTTAGTTTGAAAATAGCCTGGCCCTTCTTAGACCATGTATTTCTTACTAAAACAGTAAGTCAATTTTATGAAAATTTTATGCATGTATACTTGTGACCTTTCTGAGTAATTTGAGACTTTTTTTATAATAATCCACAGAAAACTTAAGTCTTTAAAAACGTGTAAGTCGTCTTCAGTAAACTAGAAAATATTTCTTTTTAATAAGTAGGGACTTTATGTATAAGTGGAAGTATTTTACTTTGGATTTAGATAAGCATTTTATTTTTATTTGTATTTTTTTCTTGGTGAGGAAGATTAGCCCTGAGCTAACATCTGTTGCCAGTCCTCCTCTTTTTTTTGCTGAGGAAGATTGGCCCTGGGCTAATATCCGTGCCCATTTTCCTCCACTTTATATGTGGGGCGCCTGCCACAGCATGGCTTGATGAGCGGTGTGTAGGTCCATGCCCCGAATCTGAACCCGTGAACCCTGGGCTGCCAAAGTGGAGTGCACAAACTTAACCACTACGCTCTCAGGCTGGCCCCTAGATAAGCATTTTAAATAGCATTTTTATTACCATAACACATGGAGCATAGTACTCTATTTTTTAGTCCACTTGACTTGTTTAGGTATAAGTTATTTCGGCATCATTAGCCTTGCTTATGTTTTCCAGTTTACCTTTTGCTGCCTAATATTAAATGTTAGGAAGCTTTTATCCAGTTTTTGAAGTGTCATTTTAAATAGATTGGTAAATTACTCACATTTGTGAAGTTTTACTGTATATTTAATGACAGGGATTCACAGACAAAAAGTGCATATTTAACTTGTTTTTCCCTTCTAGTAGAAATCTTTTAATCAATCAGTCAGTCAATTTTGTAATAACAGTTGGCCTCAGAAAATTTTCTTTTTTTCTCAGTAGTTGAAGGCCATTTTCAGAGATTTTGTTCTTCTTATGTAGAGTGCTAGACCACTTCAATTTCACGTTTTCTGATGTTGTCCATCATACTTCTAAGAGGGTTAGGTTCGCTTTTCATGTCTTTCACAGTTTTGTTTTTCACGCAACAGCAGCAGTCAAGAACTTCATAAAGGAAAGCCAGCACCACTAAAGATACCACTGTAAATATAAATAAAAGCAGAATGACAAAGCACGCAGTGTTCCAGTTATCATGGAAAGGGTAAATTTTTTGAACTTGAAAGCCGAGGTACTGATAAACAGATGTAGTGGTTTCATTCCAGAGGCTGGAGCTGAGGGAGGCCATTCTTAGAGATTCCACTTTCTATATTGCTCTTTTGAATCTATAAAAAGGTAGAAAATGAATATATATAACCAAACTCTACAGATTTGTCAATTCAGATCTCAATACTAAGATTTGTTAGTAAATTTATGTAGGCAACATGAGTCGTCCCTGTTTTCTGCCAGAATTAATGCCTGAATGATACTTTTGAATTTTTTTATATCTATGCCAATGTGCTCTGTAAATCATGCTATATATATTTTTGATGTATATCATTTATTGGACAAATATGTATGTTTAGGATTCATATATAGAAATTAACTGCTAGTGGAAGGGAAAAAAGGCAGCTGAATTAGTTTAAAATTTGACTAAAGCAGGGCCGGCTCCGTGGCTTGGTGGTTAAGTGCGCGCGCTCTGATGCTGGCGGCCCGGGTTCGGATCCCGGGAGCGCCCCGAGGCACCGCTTCTCCGTCCAGCGTGAGGCCGAGTCCCACGTGCAGCAACTAGAAGGATGTGAACCTATGACATACAGCTGTCTGCTGGGGCTTTGGGGGGAAAAAACTGAATAAATAAAATCTTTAAAAAAAAAAAAAAAAAAATTTGACTAAAGCAGTGGGTCAGTGAGCTATTATCTACAAAAAAGTCTTAGTGTTTTAAGGTCATGTTCTTCACACTGCCCCTGGAAAAGCTTTTCTCATTACCTTTCTGGATCCTCCTCACCTTGTTGGTTCAGTGTATTTCTGCCTCCTATTTCCACTCCTTGAAACTTTGCAGACAGGCAACCTGAATCAGGAACTAGTGGCTGAGTGAAAAATAGTAGAGAAGGAAAAGTTAAATAATGACAATTTTCAGAATAAGGATAATAAAAATTTTAGGTTAAAGTTGCCTATGAAGAGACCTTAACTTTAGGATTTTTTTATGTATGTGATAATCTTAAATATTTCATATACCTAAATGACCTATGGGCACAAATATTTTAAGAAACAGACAAATTCAGTGCCCCAAAGGTATCAATTATTAAATAGTTATTCCATTTCATGAAATTAGCCAGTGAGTTAAACTTTCATTATTCATGCATTGTTTTGCTCTTGTTGACCTGATACTTGTTAGGCCTTAAATGGGACCGTAAGGATTGAAGATTTGATAGTAATAAAAATAATAAATGAATTTTTATTATCTTGATTTTTCAAAAATATCTTTTTAAGCTTATTTTTATTGTTTTTATTTTTTTGTGAGGAAGATCAGCCCTGAGCTAACATCTGATGCCAATCCTCCTCTTTTTTGCTGAGGAAGATTGGCCCTGGGCTAACATCTGTGCCCATCTTCCTCTGCTTTATATGGGACGCCGCCACAGCATGGCTTGACAAGCAGTGCCTTGGTGCGTGCCTGGGATCCGAACCTGTGAACCCTGGGCCGCCAAAACAGAGTACGCGCACTTAACCGCTGCGCCTCTGGGCTGGCCCCTAAGCTTATTTTTAAAAATTATAAAATACTTACACTACATGTCAGGTTTATGTTGTGAATGATGACAGTTTGCCTCACATGAGTGTATTGATAACTGATGAGCAATTCCAAACATTCACTCTTTAGTTAGCTTCTGGGCACATCTGAAAAAAGTAAACCCCGTAATATGGAATCGTTTGCCACCTTAAATTTCATGTGGTTTATTCTTTCAAAGTACAGTAGAATGCTAGTAATTTTTTGTGTCCCTTAGGGTAAAATCAAAATCTTACTTTGGATTAGACATAATTAGACATGCAGAAAGATATTTACCATTAGGATTTTCTCATATTCTGAGACTATATTTTTGAAATTAAAATGTAATTTATGTTAAGCAAATGATGTAAACATGCCATATGAAAAGTAAGAGAAAATAGTAAAAAAAAAAAAAAAGCAAAAAACAGTGTGTACTTTTTTGGATTCCCCAGCCCCTTTAAAATTTCATTATAGGAATGGGAAGTGTTAAAGTAAATACCATATTTGTTTTTAGTTTGTTATTTTCGATATATTCCCTTCACCTATTTTTCCTTTCATTTCAAAGGTGCTAGTGTAGTATTTATGGGGATAGGACTTGGAACTGTTCTGGAACCTTGAATTGCCAGATCAGGATAAAATTATGCTTTTGCTCTATTTATGGTAAAAGCCCTTGAATTGAATTCTCTAGTGCCTTTAAGCATATCACTTTGAAATATGAGCAATTAATCATAGTGGCCTTTGAATATAGAACACCTCACTCAACCCTGGCACTCTCTGATATAGGCCATGCCTCTGGTCAGTTTGGTTAAAAAGTAGTGAGCCTCCATCTGTGCTAACTATAGATATATTACCAGTAAAATGTAGGCTGATTATAGTGTTAAAACAATGTGGGTGGTAGGGGTTTCTATTACAGTTTACCCGAAATTTGAGTTACAAGTTAACTGTTGTATTTGACAAAGTTGTTTTTATTTTATCTGAGACTTTTGGGGGGCTCCCATATTTTGTATAGCAAGCAGGAATGTTTTCTAGGTAATTAACCCCATTGTGCTAAACCTGGGGAGATCTAATATCTTCTTACAGCAACCTTTGGGCTTAGTAAGGGATACTTTGTTCATGTTAGCTGAACACTGGCTAAGAAATGGAAGGAATAAAAATTATTCAGAAAAATCCTTTATAATTTAAATAGATTAACCAGCAAAGAAAAGGGCAAAAGTTGATCCTTAGGTCAGTATGTATAGCTAATATCCTGGAACGCTAGCATCTACTAAAGAATGATATTTTCATGCTTAAATATTATAAAATTATAAATTTGGTCAGCAGTTGATACTAATCATTAGTAGACATGAATGGTTCCTCTTTGTGATGAAAATAATCTTATTACCTTGAAAGGTACCCTGCCCTCCTCCCTTAACCAATTCTTCTTAGGATATATTTTTATTTTAAAATGTAGTTTACCAAAAAGACTTAGTAGATATTTATTTTGAGGATCAGTTCAAGAATAACTTTAGTATTATGTTGAAATACTGTGATAAATATGTATTTTTGTGGCATATAAAAAATGAAAGGCTATTTAAGAAGGTTTTCATTTAATAATAGCATGACTTGTATATCACAGTAATATAGACTTTAAAATTTTACTGTAAGGAATTATTTTAATTGTTAGGAAAGTCTGAAGCTCTATAAATGATGTCTTTGGTTACAGTATAGTGCAGTCTACGTGATTCCTTTATGGTCTTTTTTAATATAAAAATCACAATTGTGATAATTTCTCGACATTCTCTGCATCTGTACTCAAAGTCAAATAAAAAACAGTTTTGAATCATTTTATCATATTTGTTAAAATATAGCGAACTTTTCTGTAACTGCTCTTTACTAGCCAGTATAATTTGCACATATAATCAGAAAGCTTTATTCCAGGATTTGCTTTTAGTCTAGATTTTTCTTTAAGAAAAATCCTTTGTTAAGACAGACCAAACTGCTGAAATGAAATAGCTCGGAGAAAATGAAATTAGCAAGTAAGCACTTAACATCAAATACTTATCGTAAGGTCTGGATATAGATCAGGTTCATAGACAATGTCATGAATTTTCCATTAAGGCACAGATGGTAAGGGTGCTTATCAAATAGCACAAGGCAGTCTTCATATTTTCGTAATAAAATTCTATCAAGCAATGAAATCAATACATTGCTGTTTTGGGTCTTGCATAGGAACAAAGCTTTCTGCTTGGTTTTTATGGTAAAATATTTTTATATTGCGTCATAAGAACATGTATTACTAAATGAAAAAGATCATATAAACCTACCTCTTGTCTGAAAGGCTGCTGTTGAAGCGATGGTCTCGGCTGTTTGTAATGCAGTCTAGTGCACAGCCAAGATGGAGCTGTGCTTCTATTGGTTGAACCACAGTGCAGCTGACAGTTTCCTCTACCTTCATTTGCATTAAGTCCTGCCACCCTTAAGAGTAAATCATTCATAAACTTGAATAGAGCTGTCTGGGATATCAACTGTCACCCTTTTTTCTTGCCTTATTTTTTGTCCTTAAGCTCCATTCCTGCGTAGGAGTTTGTAACAAATTGATTATTCCTTAGTGTTTAACTGTAAAATTTCAGATCCTTAATATATCAGTGCTAGGGCTAGAAGGTAAGGCTGAGAGAGGTGGTAACCTAGGAAACAAACAGTCCAGTTTTATCAGCTTGATATTTCATCCAGGAAGTGTGCATAAAGGCTCATAAATGATATTTTCTCTTCTTTTCTTTCAATACTTGTGTTTTACATAAATCTTGCCCTCTGGAAGTGATTATTTCCATGTGGTGGTTTGATTTAGGAGAAATTCTGAGGGAAAGAAATAAGGTTTTCAGCTGTACTGGTTGGGAGAGGGTTGGTTTTGGTAGGTGCACCACCTACATTAAAAAAAGTCTGTGAAATTTAAATGACAAAAGAATCTTAGGTTGGATGTTTAGAGTTAGAATGTTATTTGTGGGTATTATTTAGAATTGTAGTCTTAAGTATAACAGAATCAAGGTTTTTAATTATGGGAGCTGCTGTTACAACAACAGCAGGTTGGGTAAATGCTCGCTATGCAGACTTATTTTTTTTAAATTATAGATAAATCAGCATATTAGTTTCTGGGGCCATAAAGGGATTCATGGGAATATTCTTATTACAGTCATTCATTCATTCATTCATTCAACTAACATTTATTGAGTGTTTACTGTGCCTGGCATTGAATTAAATGCTGGAGACCCCGTGGTAAACAACACTGTATGTGGTTCATGATTGACCATTTGTATGGTGCAATCCTTAATGTATTGTCATGTTTTTCTTAGTCTTGTTCCAGTTAGTTGTTTATATAGTAGTGTAGGATAAACTTAATGGTATTTTACTGAAGTTAAACAAGAAAACATGAAGTGTGCATTTATGAATTTCTGTACTGGCAAAATAGCCAATTTCAGATGGAATAATCTATGTTAAAGGCTAGTTAATGATTCTCATACAAAGCATTATCACAGGTTTTACACTGGATTTTTTTTTTTTTTTTTTACTTATTTATTTTTTCCCCCAAAGCCCCAGTACATAGCTGTATGTCATAGCTGCACATCCTTCTAGTTGCTGTACGTGGGACACGACCTCAGCATGGCCGGAGAAGCGGTGTGTTGGTGGGCGCCCGGGATCCGAACCCGGGACGCCAGCAGCGGAGCTCGCGCACTTAACCACTAAGCCACGGGGCCAGCCCTACAACTGGATTTGAATCTAATCTGTACTCTGCCACTTACTACTCTGTTTTCTTATGTTTAAAAGGGTTTTTCTTTTTCTCAGTTTTCTTATGTTTATAATATGTCCTAAATAGGATTTTTGGGAGGGATTAAATGGGAAAAATCATTAGCATGGCTCTTGGCAAATAGTAAGTGTTCAGTAAAGGTTAGTTACTATTATTGTTATGAATGTTCTGGACACCTTAGGAAAATGAACCATATAGGTAGTATTTCATAATTGAAATAGTGAATACGAAAGCACACCTGTAAGGCATTCTTATTATTGTTATTTTTGGAAACATAGACATTAATGTGCCAGTTAAATTATTATCAAAATTGTAAAAAGGTTATTTTTAGAGGAAAACTGCATTTGAAGTCTCATTTTAGTCTCAAAACATATTCAATAAAGCCTTTTCACTAACTAATCGCAAAGGAGTGTTATGTTGCCATCTAGAAGCTTTCTTTTGGATCTCTGACAGTTGTTACATTTGACTTGTGGTTGTTCTAATGCATTCTTTTGTTTAAATTATTATTACCAAGCTAGTGCCAGACATTGACTTTCCCTCCTTTTATTTAACCTCTTCTTTGTGGATCAGCCACGTGGGAACTTTATAATATCTGATCTGATGACTTGCTAATAGAATGTGTACTTCTGAAATGTTTTCCTAGTATTTATGATGAATTTTTTTTAACTGTTCCTGCCTGTGACTAATGGAATGCATTTGTGATGCAATGATAGTGTTAGGATTTCTGCCTATAAGAATGCAACAAAATGATAGGTGTTCTGAAACAAATTATCTTCTATATAGATTGCTCCTTGTTTCGTGCTATCATCCTTTTTAAGCCTCCATGTTTATGCAGTGGCGGTGCCTATATTTTTATTTATGGTTTATCTTTAAAGTAAACTTTAAAATAGTTATGGTATCATTTTTTAAATTCTCATTAATTAGTACCCATTTGTTTTAAGTTGATAAGCAGAAATTGATGTCATAGGTAATAAATTGAACTTTTTATCCCTCAGAAGTAATCCATTCACTTCTCAAGATTTTAAGTCTGTTAGAAAAGCATGGTGGATCAGATTGCGATTTGTGTTGTCCTCTTGTTTAAAAAGCCTTGCTTCTAATTATGGGGGAAATCTAATCAGAATTAAGGAAAGAGTGAGATAAAGGTAGTTATAAAAGAAATGTATTTTAATGCTTTTGAATTGTTTATACTTTGTTTCCATCCTTAGTGAGAAAATGGATGGTTTATTATACACTTAAAGATTTTGAGTTTTTCACCAAGATTTTACAGGATAGAATTCACTAGGTAGAGAAATTCAAACAAATATTTTACCAGAGTTAAAATCATGTAGCTGCTTAAAATCATAATCACATCTAATATGAAAATGTTGTAATTGTTTTTTAAACTTCATTTCCAGATCACAGCAATGGATCATTTAACTTGAAAGCTCTATCAGGAAGCTCTGGGTATAAGTTTGGTGTTCTTGCCAAGATTGTGAATTACATGAAGGTAAGTACTTTTCTCAAATAAAAAAAATTATATTTAACTTTTTGGCAGGAGATATTGGCATTTTAGAAGTAAATTTGTATATATATGTCAAAATTTATCAAATTGTATGTTTCAATATGTGTAGTTTATTGCATGCCTGTTATACTTCAATAAAACTGTAAAAAATATTTAGTGCTTCGGGTCTTTTACATTATATCAAATTAGCATTGCAGTGAGTCGCTTAAATATATTTAATTTATATTAATTCAAGTACGTGATTTAAGCCCATCATTTAACTTAATAAAGTTGTGCTTAGGCAGTAGATACAGTCACCTCTTAATTAGTCAATTACTGCTGGCAAAACTAATAGGAGGATGTGGATGATTTACAGGATGTTACTTCCATTGATGTGAGAAGTAAAGACTACAATTTTTCAGCAAAAGTTTAAATAGTGACACAAGATGGAATTTCTGGCATATTGTAATGTTTCAGTAAAATACATCACTCTTAAATTTATCTGAGGGAATCTAAATGCCATTATTACTTTAAAAATATGAAAACAAACGTAAGTGGTTAGAAATCTTATTTTCCCTTTGAACTTGTATGTCAGTTCTGTTACTCCCACTGAATTTTATCCTAATGTTACGTATTTTTATGCATGAAAAATCTTTCATTGATCATCTGTCAAACCTCTTTGTTACAATAATATGTATACAAATTGAAATTAGAAATGTTTTCCCTGTGACCATAAGGCTCTACGTATTAAAAGTATCTTCTTGTTTGAGTTTTTATTACAATTATTATTAGCACACAATTCGTCAGAGTAACATACATATATTAAAACTTTGATTAAAATTTACTTTGTATGTAATAATTATTCAATGGAAATCATTTTTAATGAAATAAATGGAGCTCTCTTCCTCCAGTAGTTCTTGTATCTGGAGACATTTATTACTTACTGATAGAATGAAATAGGATTTGGCACCAATTTCTGATCTTATTTTTAGATTTTGTAGGTTTAAGTGCTGAGAAATAAGTGTTCATGTAAATAAGTTCATTCTAATGGAAGTTTTGTGAGAGCAAAACCTTCCTAGTTACATGCCAAAAATCACTTAGTGATTTATCATCAAGCAGCCGTTAATTGACAATTCTTTTAGGTCCTCCTTCAGTTTTGTTGAAAGCAAAAGAATGAGCACCACCTAACTTAACAAAGAATTTGTTACCTGGTCCTTAACTATTTACTTTCTTAGTTTCTAGGAAGTATATCAGAAAGACTTTGTACCAGGACTTAGCAAATGTTTAATTATATCACTTCCCCTCTTTTCCCGCATATAGACACTTTCTTTAATCTGATATACTCAGAAGCAGTTGAGAAAATAAAAATATTAATTTCATTACACCTTTGCCAATGCAATTTTTTGATAAAATGCTTTTATTACATGTATAAATATACTTTTATCAAGAAAATGTCAGGTTGAGCTTATTTAATTTGTGGGAAGTATCTCCTGGTTAACAAAGCCAGTCTCCATTGTCAAACAAACTAGCTATATCAGACTTTGTCTCTTACCATAAAATATCTTTTAAAGTTCAAATAAATAGGTTAATACATATTTTAAGTAATATAAAAACCACTGAGAATTATAGATTGCACACTAAAATATACTACTAAGGTAGTTGAGATTACAATTATATGGATCAAATGGAATTAATTTATCATTTTTATAACAATTTTAAAAACAAATGCTGCTTATGTTACACTGCGTTATTATAAATTAAATAATAAAACATTTATAAAGTGAAGGACATGATGAAAGGTGCATTATTCCTTTTCTAAATGTGTGTGCTTGTATCTTCTGATTTCTGATATTCAGATTTTAGGTATAAATAAAAGGGAATGATTCAGAAAAAACTAAATTTTATTTTGGGGTGATTAATGAAGGGGGAGGATACTTATTGCTAAAAACGAATTGGTCTTAGAGCTAGCTATGGCTTATTTTTTTAATGGGAAGTAGAAATATTAAACTGTTTAAACGATATAATGAGAATTGACTAATTAGAATAAAAATTTCATGCTACAATTTGACAAAATAGGTTTTAACTACCACATTGAATAATGCACACTGAATCTAAAATAGTTCATATGTGGTTTTTGTCTGTGGGTTTTACATAGCATAGTTTGAACAATCTGATAGTCCTGGAAAATATTTATGTTATATTTAAAAGAATCAACCTCTTAGGGGCAGCTCGGTGGCGTAGTGGTTAAGTTCACACGTTCCGCTGTGGTGGCCTGGGGTTCGCAGCATTCGGATGCTGGGCGCGGACCTATGGCTGCTTG